TTATTTTCACTATTTTAAAATAAAAATGTTATACTGCATTTGAAGTATAAGCGTCAAAAAATTATATTATAATGCTTTATAATAAAAAAATTTTTGAATATTGATTAGAACAAGTTATTTAATTTATCAGGTCTTTCTGTTGAACTTGATACGTAAAATAAAAGGTAAGTAACAAAATGTAATAAGTGTTATAAATCAACATTAAAAATGTATTGTTACCTAAGGTAATTTGATTAAATGTTTAAAATAATAACAATATGAACAATAGATACCTTGCTAGAAGAATTTGCACCATTTAAACGGAGTTGTTGCTGTTGTTTGCGATATGTGCTCACTGTGTGTACAAGTGCTGGTTTAATACTGCTGCTACTATTGCTGCTGCTGCTACTGTTATGTTTGTCAGGTTCAACATCATCAATATGTTTGCTGTCATCAAACTGGAGTCGGCCACGAGGACCTAACTGATTAGGTGATAGAACATTAYGGGGAATAAGTTCTGATGATTCTTCTTCTCCATCAGAATTCACAAACTCAAAGTATTTGTCAATAAGCCGTGACTCAGGTAATTGGTTGGCGTGTGCACTGGATTGCTGATCTTCTAAACCTTGCCTTTGCTCCATTGAGGTAGAAAAACTTTTATTACCATAGAGACTTTCATTACCACGTTGAAATATAAAACTAGAACAGGCTTGAGACAGAGGACTACCTGCATGACTTGACAACATAGAACAGTGGCCACCACCAGGGGTATTAATCACTGTGACAGGCGAGAATTGAGAAGTTTCCTTTAAATGTATATATCATTAGTAAATATAAAATATAAATTATATAGTGTGATCATGATTTAAGGTAACACTAAATATTTCAGGTGGATGGTATTGTATTGAAATGGTATTGGGAGGTGATAGAATACATATTTTCAGATAAATTTCAAATTTTTAACACTATTGGTATGCATATTACATTTTTTTTTTTAATGGAAATACTATTTTACTTCTACATATTCGGATAGGTTATTATTTTTTTATTTTTTTCTTATCAAAAGATTTTTCTATTTACAAAACTGCCGAAGTTAGAGTAAGTCAAACTTTGAATTTATGCATAATTTGTGTCTAATTAAATTTTAATTTATGACCACTGGAATAATAAAATAAGTGTGAAATAATTAAACATTATCTTTAGAGTTTAGTATCTCATAAATTATATTAATTAAATGCATAACAAAATATGTATACCGATAATAGTAATATTAATATTATAAAAAAAATAAAATTTATTAACAAAATTAAACTATATTAAGACGTCTTAATATTTCTCGATACTTGAATACTGTGGATTATATAGATCCATTATAGGATATAATTTATATATTATATTTTAGGATTTAAAATCAAAGTACAGGTAGCATGTGATATTTTTAAGTGAGGACTAAAGCAAGGCAGAAACTTAAGACTGAATTTTTGAGGCTACTTGAATCATGTTTAAAACATAAAGACGACAATTTTGAAAAATTCAWAAGATAAATTTAGTTAATAAATTGTAATTTTTATTTTAATATTACTATACTTAGTAGTTAGTATAAACATTTTGTTATACATTTAGTTAATACAATTTACGAAATATCAAACTCTAAAAATAATGTTTAATTATTTCACACTTATTTTATTATTTCTAATGGTTATAAATGAAAATTTTAGTAAACAAAAACTATGTATAAATCCAAATTTTGGCTTATTCTTGCTTAGTCAGTTTTGTAAATAGAAAAAAAAAATTTTTTTGATCTGAAAAAATTTAAAAATAAATAATATATCCGAATATTTAGAAAAAAATAGTGTTTCCATTAAAAATTGCAAGTTGTATTGTGCATGCGCACACCAAAGTTGTTGAAAATTTGAAATTTATCTGAAAATATGTATTTAGGTACTCCATATTACTTCCCAAAAATCCATTTAAATACAAGGCCATCCCCCTGAAATATTTAGTGGTATCATAAATTGTGATCTCGCTGTATATATAAATGTATGTATAAATACATATGACAATAATAACCTCTTGAAGTGCAGCTACATCAATTGGATTATTTTCTTTCTGTTGGCTCCGATAGCGTTTAGCACCCAAAATGTCAGCATCATCGCAGTCTTCAGGTATAGATTCAGAAGATGCAGTAGAAGTGTTTAAAGCACTACTTCCATTGCTGCGTCTCTACATACAATAATCATTAGATATTGTTAGTAAAATATATGCATTAAAAAAAAAAAACACAATTACTTTGCATGCTATAGATTGGGTTTCCAATGGAGTTATTGAAGTTTCAATTTCACAGTCATCGTCTTTTATCAAAGATAGGTCCGGATACAAGTTGGCAGATGGTGAAGGTGGCTTGTATTTCAAGMAATCTGTTAAAAAAGACATCATGTCAAATGAATCTCTATTCTTATCATTGTAATTTTATAAATTACCAAGTAAAATGTATTATTGTGAATAAAAATAAATATATATGTTTTTAAGACAGAAACAACAAATGCCCATATGACGTCTTCTTAAGAGAACGTGATACCCACATGTGTTGTCTCGGTCTAACAAGTGCATAATATTACAAAAACTGTTTAGCGGGAGATAGAAACCATTCAGTCTGTACTCTTAGTAGAAACACCAAAAGTCAACACAATATAGAAGATAATATTTTCTATAGCATAAAGTTTTTATTTATTTGATAATAATAATTAAATTCTTTAATAAGAAACAAGTTTCAATACTTTTAAAAAACTGATATTTTTAAGTTTTTCAAACTTCAATAACTTTTTATACATTAGTCTTATCAAAAAAATAAAAACACTGTGACACACTTAAAATTCTCCTTTTTTCATGGTGAAAATTTGGTTTCTTAGTTATAGTTGTAGACTTCTCGGTTCTTTCCCATGCAAATAACAGGTTTTGATGTTAGGCACTTGTAAAACCGAGACAACAAATGCGGGTATCACATCTTCTTAAAGCTATTATTACAATGATTCATCATCAGTCTATTGAAAAATACTTTCATTTGATGTCTATCAAGTCTTGTGGATCAGGATTGTTTGTCAATGTGGCCAAAATGTGTTGATCAACCAAAGATAAACAAGTGTAATACCGAATTGTTTTATTTAAGGTAAATTCAAAAAAAAAAAAAAAAATCATTATATAATTATTATATTGTACCTGGATTATATTTATCAAAAGGACTTTTTTTTCCAATTGTATCCTTTGAACTATTATCGGAAATTTGTTCACAATCTTCCAGTTCATTGATCAATTTCTTTTTTAGAAGAACATTTTTTATACATGGTGGAGTCCATACAGAGCGWTGCTGTTCACTCAAATTGTTTGAGGCTGCAGCAGCACCATGGCTTGTCCTTGGTCTAGTACCACGTCTTGAAGGTGGAGTAGATGCACTACAAGGAATAGGACGTGGTGGCGTTTTAATAACATCTACTTCAGATTTTTCTGTTGCTTCACTAGGAGTCGTTGAGGTTTTAGTAATAACAGGAGCAGGAGTAGTTTTAGTCAGAGATATGGTTACAGTAGTAGTGGTAATTGGTTTTTTACTCAGCTGTTGAGTAGCATTGTTTGGCTCGAATAATGCTCGACGTTGTGCAACTGTCAAAGAAGAAACTGTGATATTTGGTGAATTTTTTTGAGGCAGAGGTTCATTATTTGACTGCTGCTGTTGGCGAAATTGCTTAAGTTTATTACTATACTGCTTCTGTATTGGTTGCTGTGTACCAGTTGATTTATTTTCATTAGTCTAGAAAGCAAAGATATCAAAATACACTTTAATAATAATTTAAAATTTCATAATATAGCAATGGAGACGAATTCAATAATACATATCTACTTATGTAATCTTGSTATGCATAATCGTGTAGTATTACCTTAATTGTATCTTTTGTAAAAGTATATTCTGGGGACACATCTGTCAATTTTTTAGATTCATCTTGGCTATCATTGATTTGTTCTGTCTTCTAAATAAAAAATAGAAAAATAGTTAACATCTATATTACTAATGTGTAGAAAGTGTTTCTAACGTGCAAAATACACATTTACAGCGTACCTTATTTAAGGTATATTTGTACTATTACTAATATTGCATTACTTATAACAATGATTTTATAACAAACCAAAAGATTACATCAATACAATTATTGTAAAATAATAACAAATTGGGATTAAAGGGCATCTTTCCAGTCTAAAATCAATGACTGTACTTTATACACAATTTATTATTATAACTTTTGACACATTATTTACCATGGGATTGGAAATATTTTCACTTTGTTTAAAGTTCTGATCATCTGACAACCATTGATCTACTTGGCTGGCAAGTTCAGCAAGGCGAGTGCGTCGCTGACGACGCGAAGGTGGTGAAAGTGATTGCTGAATTGTTGTTGAAGTTTCCATTATGCCTGATGAAGGTGTTAGCACTGGTTGGGATACCTGGGACAATGTTGATGCAAGTAGCTCTTGACGCCTTTGTGTTCTTTCCAACATGCGCTGGAAACAATAAAAATTTAGATTATGAACATATTATAAATTATACACATAATAGTAACAATGTATAGTAAGTATCCTTTGCCAGTTTGCCAGTCAAAGTACMTAGGTACATTTAATTATGTTTTAAATATTTTTGTTTTTTAAGGAAATGCTAATTCATAGTTTTATTCATGACAAAGTAAATAGGTATGGTCAGCAACATTCTCATCCRTGTATTTTCCACTTTTTACTGTGTGTTACGTTCTCCGCCTCTCATTGGTCGCATATACCAAAGCATTAAGATCAGAGAAACTAACACATAGGAAAAAGTGAAAATGCACACGCAAGATTCAAACACGTATTGTTTCTGACATACTTCTATATTTTCATCATGGTTTAATTTACAAACCTACATTTTATTTTAAATAAATATTTAAATCTTAACTCTAATATACAAAAACCTAATTAAATTGTAGAACCATCTCACTTTTTTTACATAATAAAATTCCACTAACATTTTAAAAATTTGAATCACAATTTGCAATGTAGTATGTTACGCTGATACAGAAACATGTGACTATCCAACGCTGCTTATTACTATGATACAATTATTATTCTAGGTAAGAACATTTATTATATTATCATTTTTTGTTTGTATTTGGTTTGGTATTTGTTTGTTAACACCCACCAGTACGCCGTACCTATAAAATATATCATCCTGCCACTCTTATTGGTTATCGCCCCACCATATTGTGTAACTTAAAATTATCATGTTTATAACTTGTGATAGATTAGGAAAATAAAATTGAATAATATCATAATAGGCATATTAATACTTTTTTGACTTTCATTATTCATATTTTAATAGGTAGGTACCTATTTTGTTCAAACCAATATGAAAAATTTAATTTAATACGTTAAAATGAATTACAGTAATTTAGTGAATTACTTATGATTTATATCTAGTTTTATATTTATATCCATAATCAATTTGTTCAATTTTCTTTTTTTTTAAAAACATGAATAAATGATTGATGTTAAATCGAGTGTTAAATTTAATCTAAACTAAATTTCTGACTAAATTGTAGTTGTTTTTTTCAATTTAATTATTTTATTTACATTACATTATATTACACAAATGTTCAATAGTATTTCAAAAATTTTCATAAGTAGGTATTACCTATAGTATTACAAAATACCTAAGTAAATAGTGGTATCTAAGGTAGGGATATTAGAACAAAAACATTGTTTTAATTGACATAGATATTTTTATGGTTAGGTGAGTACATACTKCATTGAATTAAACAGTCAAATTATATATGTTAGGTACAAATTTTCACTCTGTATTTTTACATAATTTTTTGTAAAATAAAAAGTTATACAGTATTTTAACATAAATTATAAGATATATCAAAGATGATTTGTTAAAGTACCATTAAAAATGTTTGGAAATCGTAGGAAATTTTTGGAAATCATAAGACATTTTTGGAAATCCTTGGAAATCATGGAAAATCATAGGAAATCAGTGGAAATCTGCAATCTGGTGTACACAATTTTATATAGTGGTTTACCTTCCGTGAATTACTAACAGTTTTACAAGAATTAAATTTTTACAAAAAATAATATAATTTAAGTAAGTAAAATGGCCATATAATGTTTAATAGGGGATCAGATGGGTTAAGAGTTAATAATTAGCTAACTGGTTTTAGACTAATACACAATAGACCATTTCATATACTATATCAGTAACATTTTGTACACATGAACTAAAAATGGAAAAAAATTCTGGGGTCAACTGAAGTAATTATCTAAGAGAGGTATGTATATGGAAGTCAGAAAAAAATAAAAAAAAAAATTGGTTATCCCGGTTTTTTTTGTCAAACACATGAAAATTGGATACTGAACGGGATACTGAATTTTTTTTTTAAATTTATAATTATTTCAATACCTATAGGATTTATTCTATTGTTTATACTACTTGTTTGGATTTGTATTGTTTATTTTATTTATTTATTAAGTTAATTTTCTTAGGCTGGGGCCATAACAAACAAGAGTGGTGATGAGATAAGTTGTATACGAGGTACTAGCAGGTCTTATATTTTTAAATTGTTTTTTATTTTTCAATCGTAAAACTTGAAATATCGCAAAAAACAACATACAAACATAGATCATATTCTTACCTTTAAGTTTAAAAACAGTTCCACTAGGAATAAAATAAAAGCTATCAAAACACAATTRCTATGTTATACCTACTATGTTTTCTATGTTTACTCGTATAAGACAGAGACAACACATGCAGGAACAGCATCCTCTGAATATTTAATGTTTAATTTAATAGAGCTATATCTATTTAAATAATAAGAAGGTAAAATAATATGATAGTACCTACAAATAGTTAGGTAGTTGATTTATTTTTCAAATTTTCAAATATATTTTTAATATTTATATGTAAATAGATTATGCACATTAATCTGCTTAAAAAGTTCAACAAAATTAATAAAACTTCTGGTGTTAAAATATCAACATAACAATTGTGAGATTCATTTCTTCCTAATACACTTTAATTAGGCATAGGCGGGGGCATAGGTTAAGATATATAGACATATAGATAATTAATAGATATTTGAATATCTACCTATATTTTGAAATTTTTTATTATATATTTTTTTTTTTTATAAAAACAACATTTTCCGGGACATTTTCTAAAAACAAGCGTGATATCTAAATACATTTAGTGGTACATCTACCTATTAAATAATTACAAACTTGACATTAATCAAATCAATGCCTGAATTTTTTTATCTACAGAATAGAAATTGGATCATAATRTGGTAAAGATTTTTAGATTTTTTGAAAATAACATATATTTAGGTATTATCGAAAATATTATGTAGTAACTAATAACAGTTAATAATGATTGAATAAATTAAATGATAATATATAAGTACTTTTCATTAGTATCTCAAGTGTAGTTAAGTATCTATTTATCTTAAATGGTTTGTAATTTTCATATGTACCTACCTACCTGTACAATCTAGTTAAAATAGTCATCTGACACAATAACAAACAAAACTAAATAAATGGAAAAAAATTGACTAAATGATTACTTCTCACTAAAATGTTTCTTCATCCATAGGCATCATTAAAGGAACTTATTGGAAATTATAGCATTCTTGAAGTTGTCTATTGATATAATAAAAATGTAGTCTTTGAAACCACATTTAAAAGAGTTATAGCACCTGCTAATAGTAACCAATGAGTATGATAAATATACCTGTAATTAWTATAAAAATAAATCCAAAAGGCTTGATTAGTATCTAACCACAAACCAGTGGCACTTTCCTACCGGATTTTGTTTTAATACCTACACAGGTACCTAGATACCAATAAGTAATTTATATTTAAATCATAAAATTAAATTCAAATAGGTAGGTATAAACTTAAGTATCAGCTGTGTATGAACCTAGAAAAAGTGAACATTGATTTCCTTATTAAAATAACAATAAGATCAGCTATTATGGATTTACTTGATTACCTATATAATATGCTTAAAATGTAAACAAACATTATGTAAACAATGTAAACTTAGAATAAAGATAGTCTTTATGTTAACTATAATATAGTAAATGGCAAGACGCTGGTATGTAGGTGTCTAATCTCTTTTTTGCTTATACGAGACTGGGCAACTGTATATCGATCTTGCCAACTGTTCAGTCCAGTGACCGACTMATTCAAGTTAAATAGTGTGCTTACGTAGAATATATAATTATAACTTAAAGAGTTAATAAAGTATATTTATTATTATATTAATTTAAAGTGTGTATACTTTTCTAAACAATCACCTAATATATGAAACATCATTTGAACACAAAGTGTTATGCTCATAACACCATTATATTAAATTATTTGTTATMGAAGATGAACGCTGTATGCCGCAGAGCTACGCTTACTAAATCCTTCACACGGTGTCCATAATAGTGGTTTGATATCATGTCTATCGACAGTTGACTGTTGTATAATAATCAAAGTGACTACCTATAACTCATTTCAATGATTTACCTCCGTGAAGTCGTCCATGGTGTACCGCTTGAGAACAGCAGATGCAGATCTGTCCGGCTGAGTTGGTCACAACTCGCTGGATAATGAAAAAACAGACGACGGCGAAACTCGGTACGGGAAGGTTTTCTGCGGCGGTGTCGTCGGAAAAAACAAACGACGAAAACGGTCGACTCGACGTCGGCGGAATGCGATCGGCGGGGACACGAACAACGAAACAATAAAAGCGCGGGTTTTTCACTTTTTTTGTGATTTCCGCGTTCGAATTTAACGTCCGGTAATCACGTCGATGGTGTCAGTGCGCCGCCGCTGCGTAGCGCGTAAACAACAATATTTTTTCCGGTGGGGATGTCCGAACACGGCGCAACGGTCGTTTTGTAACCGTCACTATGGAGGTAGGCAGCGTTGTCGCGTCGATAGAATGTGTGGCGTCGGCGTCGACCCCACCACCCCGCGACCATCGACCGACGACATATTCTGAATCCACGACGACGGCTCGTTCCGATACGGGAAAGGGAAAATTCCGTTGAGATTTTTGATTTAAAATTATTTTAAATCGCATCAACGTTGCGTCGCCGCCGTACCGTATAATATTATATTATAATTCCGTGTACGCACTGTACCAAATATGGTTCAATATGCACTACGCGTAATAATGCATAATAATTCAATTATACAATAATATATTAATATATCATAGAATTATTAAAAATCGCTACAAAAATGAATAATTTATATTTTACACGTTATATTTACGTTTAGATTTAAATAGAAGTGAAAAATATTTTCATTTTTTTTTACAATTTATTACCCCGTATTTTCCGTTGTAATAATAATAATAATTAATAACAGATAAATAATAATGTTTAAACACTACTTTAATCTAAGTAAAAATAATTTTTACTTTAATCTTTCTTAAAGATAAGTGATAAACTGATAACTAATAACATTGTTCGTTCAGGTTCAATGGTGAATGGTCTTATTGTAAATTTTTTTTTTTTTTGACTAATATTTTTCACCACAATTAAATATATTGTATAATATATATATTAAATTAATAACTACTTAACAATCAATTTGCTTGTAATTTTTTTTATTTATATATTATAGGGAATAATAGACAATAATATAAAATATTAACATGCTATTTTCTTATAACTACGCAAAATATGTCATGCTAATAATAATAAACTATTTTTATTTTACTCACATATTCAGTAGATAATAAATTATTATTTATTTGAATAAGCTAAAGACAATATTTACATTGAATGAGTAGGAAACTAACACAATATAATTACTTGTAAGTTATATGTAATTGTATAGGTCTATAGGTCTAAATGTTCAAAACATTTTTAAATATAGGTATTAGTGTATAACTATTAGACATTAAAATTTATATTATTTATGTAATTTATATAATTATAAATGTAATCTTCTCATGATCCTTTAACAAAAATTACAACTTGGGTAAATACTGAATGAACATAATATAGATGAAATTTCTATAATTATTTAATAGCAGTCAGTTATTTGCAGATTGCAATRTATGTATTTAAAGATTTTAATAATTTTAATAATTTAAGTTTAGTTTAAATATAATATCTAAAATATATAGGTAATATTATTATATTTAAAAAAATTATGTTATAATAAATAAAATTAAAGTAGGTATAAAACACCAAAATATGAAAACAGAAAATATTCTTACTTTTAAATTTAAGGCCAATTMATTGGGCCCTAAAATTGAAACTAAATACTAAAAAAATTGGAACTGTTACTAGTAAATATACCTTTGTACATTAAAAAAAAAAAAATGGTTCTTTAAATTAAGTTGCTTCCTACTTCTAATCTATATAATAATTTTTAATTTTTATCTTATAAAATATTATTTAATTAATTATAAATAATAGGTCCAGCTGGTCCAGGATACAGATTTTTAGGTACTAAACACCTATATTATAGGTACCTATTAACATTTAATAGACATACATTTTAATTTTGATTCCATTTTCAGAAAATTGTTTATTTTAACTGTTATTACTAGGGTTCAGAAGTTATAGGAGCAAAAAAAGGCAAAATATTCAAGACAAAATTATAAAATTTGCATTAAAAAATCTGAAATATGCAAAACAAAAATGTATTTATTTATTAAAAGTGTATCRCTTATTAATTAATATACACAGAAAAAAATTATAAAAATATATATTTAAAAAAATTGTATTATTTAAAACTCTTATATAGGAAATAAAATAAAAAATATGGCGTGTTACCAGCAATTGACATTTGAGATTTTATTGAACTGAAAAATTGTAACATTATTTGAAATAAATTGGTTGAGTAAGAAAAAAAAGTTAATTTTTGTAGAAAATATTAAATATATAATATACAAATATACGAAAATCAATGAAAATCGTCGAAATATGCACTTTTTCTCTAAAATTATCAAAATATGCATTTTTAATTTTCAATTTTTAAACTCAACATTGTATAGCTCGGATTTCCAGCTTGGTCTGTTATATTTTAACAGCATACAGAACAATATGCAACTCCTATAACTTCTGAACCTTAGTCAGTAGTCATTACTTATACTGGATTGATGAAACATATGATAAATGTTTTTAAGAGCTAATTGTGAAAGGCATGTAGAGTCTCTAAAAGCAAATTTCAAATAATTTTTTGAATTATTATTTATTAATTAAAATCTCATGGAAGGAGGTTTGTTTCAACACTAAAACTAATGGAACTTTTATCATATTTAATATTTATATTACAATAGAATCTATTCAGTAGCCCATCAGCCGCCTCAGCCTAAGTTGTAGTTTAGGAAAATCTATCATTGTTACTGCATGCCTATTAGTTAGGTAGATCTGGATTTATAGTTTAATAATAATATCATTTTATTTATTTACCGTATCATTTTTGAAATGAGCAATAGTAAATACTTTCGATACTCGGGCCACTCGGGGTTACCTTTACAGTTATGCTCGATATGTAGATTATTATGTATTAAGATATTAAGTTATATATTATAAGAATAACTTGTATGAATTATATTTATGTAATTAAATAAAGAACAAATAATAAATAAACAAAATTTTAAATAATATTATATTCATTATAAAGTATACAAGTAACAAGTGTGTTATTCGCCAGTGTGTGTACGTCGATGTACTGCTAAGTTGCTACATGTGCTGAATGATTTGCCACACACATCGCAYAAATACGGTTTTTCGCCAGTGTGTGTACGGCGATGTATTGTCAACGCATTGTTCCTACTGAATGACTTGTCACACAAATCGCACCCGAATGGTTTTTCGCCAGTGTGTGTACGTCGATGTACTGTCAAATTGCCACTCTGGTAGAACGATTTGTCACACACGTCGCACGCGTACGGTTTTTCGCCAGTGTGTGTATGTCGATGTACTGTCAAGTCGCTACATCGGCTGAATGATTTGTCACACACATCGCACACATACGGTTTTTCGCCAGTGTGTGTACGGCGATGTATTGTCAACTCATTGCTCCTACTAAATGACTTGTAACACACATCGCACCCRAATGGTTTTTCGCCAGTGTGTGTACGTCGATGTACTGCTAAGCTGCTACAATAGCCGAATGATATGCCACACACRTCGCACAAATACGGTTTTTCGCCAGTGTGTGTACGTCGATGTACTGTCAAGTCGCTACATTGGCTGAATGCTTTTCCACACACATCGCACGCGTACGGTTTTTCACCACTGTGTGTGTGTCGATGTATTTCCAGTAGGCCACTTTGGTTGAATGATTTGTCACAGATATTGCATGGATCATTTTTCTTATTCATTTTTTGGTCGGAGTGATGGCAGACTACTTCTATTTGTACACAATTTATTTAAAATTAATTTGTTTTTTCGTAAATCTATTATTTGGTAACAATAGACATTTTTGCTTATGATCGATAGACTTTATTGACCACATCAGATTTTCAAGCCAGTATTTGATGTAGTATTTTTTATGTACAGRGTCCGTCAGAACAAACGCATGTTTTTCAAAATAATGCTACGCTCAAAGTAATTTCAGTAAAAAATGTTTTATTATATAAAAAAATGCAGACGCATATGCAGTTTTTTTATATGTAACAAAATGTATGTTTTGAAAATAATGTCATATACATATGGCTCATCTCGCGTTTCGAGGACATTCCGTGGCCTCCTTGCTCCCTTGACTTGAGAATATGCAATTTTTTTTTGGTGGGTCACATAAAATCAAAAGTCTACCAATATAAACCACGAACCCTTGATGAATTGAAAGACGAGATCACTCAAGCGGTGGGTGAGAAAAATTTCGAGACAGATGCTGATTGACACGATAGGATCGTTTTGCGAGTGCCAACAACCCTACTAAGTGGTTCAAGGGCACCATATGCCTGACATTATTTTCCAAACCTAAATTTTGTTACATATGAATAAACTGCATATGCGTATGCATTTTTAAATATAATAAAACATTTTTTACTGAAATTACTTTGAGCATAGCATAATTTTGAAAAACATGCGTTTGTTCTGACGGACCCTGTAGTATGTTCAAGATTTAGAGCAATTTGGATTAAACTTCATTTTATTGAATTAAATTTCATTTTTTGAACGAATTGTCACCAATATTAAAGTAATTAAAAAAATATTATTAAATATAAATCAATACAAATGAAAATGAGGTGAAGGCTGTATATATATTGTACTATAGGTATGCATTACATTTAATACATCCTCCGTACTTAGTAATTTTAACAATGGTTGCACTAATTTCAAAAATATATATTCTGCTATTGAATCTCATGAAAGTAGTAAAGGTCACTCATTAGCTGTCGAAGCATATTTATTAGCAATAAACCAAAATAACATAGAATTTGTACTAAGTAGGGATATGATGAACATAAGAAAAAAACAAGTTATGGAAAGAGTCGATGTTATCAAACATGAAACAAGTGTTTGAAATAATTAAATTTATTGGAAAACAAAATTTATCCTATCGAGGTACTAATGAAGGCTTAAACGATCTTGAAGACCTAAATGTTAATCATGGGAACTTCTTGGAGCTTTTAAAATTTACTGCAGAACGCGATACTGTTTAAAAAAAATATTTAACTGAAGCAATTCAACGTAGCAAAAAACGTAGAGAAAATGTTGAATCTAATTCGAAAAGAAGAGGCTCTTTAATAACATTATTATCAAAGACTACAGTGAATAAAGTAATAGCAGCTATATTAGTAACTATGCGGAAAATAATGAAAAATGAATTGGGTGATCGGAAATTTAGTATTCAGGTATGTTTAACATTTAAAAATATCTAAAACAAACAATTTATAATTATTTAATTAAAAGTAGATACAAGTATCACTTCGTTCAGAATCCAAAAAGTACAAAAAGCATGAATGATGTTATTTTTTAAAATTATATATATATTATATTAGCTTGAGTGTCTTGAGGGAAGGTTAACCAGGGAAGTCACTTGGGGATTAAATCAATATTAATTTAATTTAATATTAAATAAAATAATAATGTAATTTATTTTTAATTAATATAAATTAAGTATATAATTGTATAATCTATTATGAAATTTAGTTTTTAATTAGTAGTGGAGACTAACAATCTTTTTTTGACGCGGGACCGCGGGACCCAACTTACCTACTACTTGTTTTTTCCCAGGTCTTAATAAATCTAAGGCCTTCGAATCTAATAATTTACCTAGTCTCTAAATTTCAAATTAACAGATAGAGCTACAATACGTGTTCTGCTGAGCGTTAAAATTGCTATGTTATGCACTTGTAAAACAGAGACAATGACGTCCTCTTAAAATCGTTTGGTTTCGTTTCTCCGTTACCTCCGTACCGAAGGTACCTATTGGCTATTGTGATAGTATCAAGATTTAAGATATCTTAAATCGTGGTTAGTATTTTATTGTTTAATGCGGAAACTGTGTCCGTGGAGCGTGGTGATTAGGTTTCATTATAGATAAGTTCAATTATTAATTTAGTTTAATAAATATTGATATTGTTAAATGTAAGTTTTTATAGTTTTATTTAGGTATTGACATCTTTTGAGAGGAGTATTGAAGTACCTATTTGAATTTGAATTATCATTTATTGTTTATCTATAAGTCTGTAGTTTCGTCATCGATCATTTGTTATTTATTTTTTTAAATATTTTTTTCATGTTACAAGCTACAAGTTATAACGCCACATTTAATATATGTGTTATGCAGCGGCGTAGCCAGGATTTTTTTTCGGAAGGGGCTGATCAATTTTTTACGCAGCGGTGCATTAAATACCTATTAGCACAGCCGAAGCTATAGACAACTAACAAAATAAAGATGACAATTTAAAATTAGTAAAATACAATTTAAGACTTTTTGAGTGAATATTGTAGACTGTTGAAATAATTTTTAAATTTTATTAACATTTCGGGGGGGGGGGGCTGCAGCCCCCTCAGCCCTCCCCCTGGCTACGCCACTGGTATTATGTATGTATTATATATAAGGAATTTAATTATAAAACAAGTTATGAACTCACCTTAATTCAACTTCAGACTTGTCATATCCCTATTCGATGAACGATTAATGTTGATTTGCTTATAGTTTAATATTAACAATAAGAAAACGATTAATTTATCGGAATATTTAAATTAAAAGAATGTATTTATCATTCAAAGACTTGCAAAATACTAAATTGAACAATAAACACGTACCTATTCGTATTATACAGCTCATCAGTCATCACGTAAGGCAGTAACCATAGGCATACGTAGATTGTTCTGTTGTCCAGATTCAGCCGACGATTGATGATTGTCATCTACAACAATAAACTATTAATTATTCAGTCATTTAAATAAGAACCTATTATTTCTATCATATAATATAAACATCTGTATAACTGTATATTTTACAATATGATATATTGATATATTTATATATATTGTTAGCTATTAGTTATAAAGAATAGATATCAATAATATCATTATACAATTAGGTACTATATTACCCATGTTTAAAACATGTAATAACTACCAACTACAATATAATATCAATGAGTATAATATGTCTAATGAAAAATATATCGATAGTGATTTATTTAAGTAATCATTTTCTCTATTTAATTATCGTATTTTATATTAACAATAATAACATAATATTAATATTCATTAGTAATAATTATATATTAGATAAACGTTGGTTAAACATGGGTCATTAGTGTCATTACTCATTAATTACCGAGATAAATATTTGATTATCGATTACCTAATCAGTAACTTCCAAATACTGAGTAGGTAGTATAAATTATAGTATTAATATAAATTGTATTAAGTAAGTACCTACAACAGCAGGCTATACATCGAGACATCGAGTCATCGACATATCGAGTACAATTTATTATAGTTAGTAAAAGATCAAATACAATCATAATCTAATTCAATTTGAACTTAATGTTTAAAATATTAAATCTGAAATTCTGTTAGTTAATTAATTGTATCGTATTTTACCGACTACCAGTAGGTACATTTTGTTTATATTTATCGATTTTCTGTAGTTAGGTATGAAATTTATGTCTAAACTTCCAAATTTACTCACAATATTTTCAAATTTCAAATTTCAACGGTATGTAGGTTAGTTTTTAGTTTAGTATTTGTTTTTCAAAAATGGGAAATTCATCAATTAAAAATCAAAATTCTGGTTATGATCTGTACGACTGACGACTGTAACTTTTGCAGCTGTAAATCATAAGTTTGTGACGTTGGTGTCGAGTAGGTATACAACTCGTTTCCAGAGTATCTATATAGGTCACTGATCATTATATATACCTAATGGACTATGGGTATGCACTTACAATAATATAATAATATATATTTATATACATTCAATGTGACATTAAAATTTATTTTACAACAATACGTGTTTTTTATAGTTTTTTTGGATTCTGAGCGGAGCGATGAATGTATTGATTTTACCATGATATGTATTTTTTTTTTTTTGTGTCTGTCATCACGTTTTGGGGCAGTAAAAGTGCTTCGATTATTGATTTTTGACTTCAGTGCTTCGTTTGATCAGAAAGTGAATCTAGTTGGTTAGTTATTTGGGGGGTCAAAAGTGAAAAATTCT